AAAAAAAAAAAAAAAAAGTGTATGTGTGAAAGTGCGTGACTGTGTGTGTGTGTGTGTGTGTATGTGACTGTGTGTGTGTGCGTGTGTGTGTGAAAGGTCCTTTTTTTTTTCTCATGGGGCTGGGGGAATCCCCCTTACACGGCTCAGATAGCCCATGTAGGCTATCTGAAGGGTCCTCGCAGCCATGTGGCACAGACCCCACCACCACAATCACGGTAGGCAGTGAATATGAAGTGAGCACGAGCTGGCCGAATATATAGTCAATATTCGAATTCAGGTCTGTGTTTCAACAGTTATGGGTTGCTCACGTAGCTAGGCCCTGCCATGATTCTCAGCGCTTGGCTGCACTACTCACAAAATGTGCAAAACTAGAATGAATCTTCTGCACAACATGGAATAATACGTCACCAGGGTCCCATTGTATTTTCTTCTCTAGTATTCACGGCAGCCACAGCAGAGAAAGAACAAAAAGAAAAAAAAACAAGTTAAAAAAAAAAAAAAAAAAAAATTCACTTACCCCGTCATAGCCATTAGGTACATCCTTACCAGGTTCCAGTGGGACTGTGCCCTTACTGAACAATACCCCTTATGCTGTGATTATGGTCGGATGTAGGCCGCAAGAGTACCACTGTGACTATGAGGTGAGTTTGGCAGTCTATGTCCCAACTTGCAATCCGCCCTGCCTCTCGGGCAGGGTGGCAGAAGGGAAAAAAAAAAAAAAAAAAAACATCATGCACGACCCAAACTTGTTGGCCAGATACTTCCATGGGGCCCTAAGGAGACTGTACCCTATGAAACAAAAAAACAAAAGCAAAACAAGATGTGGGCCCATATCGTGACCAGATACAGGATTTAACCGTAGTCAATAGTAGTATGTGAGTGCGAGTTGAGGTTGGCAGTTTATATCTACGGGTTCCCCCCTGCCTTTGTGACAGGGCAATGATTCCACCAATAAAACTCAAAAAAAAAAAACACAACCACTTTCGAGCACATACCTCAATTACTGGGCAGATGCATTACTTAAAGAACTGCTGGCCTTTCCACCTCTGTGTAGGCCTTCATGAACGTGGTGTTTTCAAAAGTGATGGCATGTACCTAATGGCTATGACCGGGTAAGTGAAGTTTCTTTTTATTTTTTTTACTTGTTTTTTTTTCTTTTTGTTCTTTCTCTATTGTGGCTATCGTCAATACCAGAGAAGAAAATACAATGGGACCCTGGCGGCGTATTCTTCCATGTTCTGCAGAAGATTCATTCTAGATTTGCACATTTAGTGAGTAGTGCAGCCAAGCCCTAAGAATCACGGCAGGGCCAGGGCCTAGCTACGCTAAAAACCCATAACTATTGAAACACAAACCTGAATTCGAATCTTGACTATATATTCGGCCAGCTTGTGCTCAGTTCATATTCACTGGTGGGGGGGTCTGTGCCACATGGCTGCGAGGACCCTTCAGATAGCCTGCATGGGCCATCTGAGCCGTG